GCTTGTAATTTGTTCTATTAAAATAGACTAAAATTATTGAACTTTATATCTATGTTTTATATACATGTATTCATAATAAAATTCAATAGTTGTCAACTTTTTTATGTCATGAGCTTCATCATTGTCAAATGARTTTTACAAATGAATTGTACACATTTGTTACTATAATATATTGTACTAAGTCAAAAAGATCTTCGTCACATCAAAGCTAAACATTATTAACCAGGATTACAGTCTACATTTTAACTGATGATGAAGGAACGTAAACCAATAAAAGGGATACATGTATATCCCGCTTCCTTTGCTTTTAAGTAAATAAATGATAACAGAATGTTTAGTCCAGGGAATATGTACATTTACAATGCATTTGAAGAATTATTGTGAAATTGTGTGTAACTGATTAACCCGAGATACATCAAAAAGAACAAAAGAATAGCCCATGACAATTCCCGAATCAAGAAGTAGGGTTTATCAGAAGCCCAGAGTGTGTCTACCAATCAAAGAYCAGATAATTTCCGAACATAGGAAATCGCATGCTGTGATTTTTTCTTAGGTGACCTTTATCGTTCTTGGCATYGAATATGGCTATAGTTACTGCACTTTGCTATGACAATAAATTCACAGATTTGAGCATTTAAATCCTAGATGAATGGTGAAATGCTGTTGATTTCAAATATAAATTAATATAAACTCGATCAGCGAGATTGAATTTGTAGTAGTTGTAGTTTTTGCCTTCTTCTCAATAAGAAATAAAACAAGTAAGGAACAAACTGACATTAATGCAAATACATTAYGATCTAACTCCATGTTTACAAAAGTTCTCGCCGATTTTTCAATTCAATACTTTGATATCATTTGCRTGTGACTTCAAACTGTTTATTCAAAGCCCTGATCAAAACCCATCTCAAGTCACTTCTTCATTGGGAATTCTCAGTTAAGATCTAGTGTAACAGCAACTAATAGCTACTTGTAAATACTCCTTTCTATATGTGTACATGCAGTAGACAAAAACTAAAGCAAAGTACATTTGTTGATCTGGCTCAATTCATATGGGTATCTTAACTTTATTTGTCCTAAGCTTTCAGCCTGCATGGCTTTTGTCAAAGGAATCTTTACGCATACAAGAAACTTTTGATCAAGATTGATAATATTAATAATGTAATAGTAATACTGTGAAAAGTAGTGCCTGATAATTCTTTTTTCATTTCTTTGGTAGAAATACAGTACCTCTTTCATAATGTTTGTATCTAGGAACCGTGACATGATATGATCTCTTTATGATGRATACCTGTAAGATCTCAATATATGTCAGAAATAGAGATCTTGCTTTAAAGTGTYTTTGGAATATCTTATTGTTTGTAATGATATTGATAATACTATTTTTTAAACCACTGCCTCTGAAGTCTGACATAAGCAAGGTTATAATTTTCAATAATGCACGTACTGTTTCTTTTTATAGATTTAGAATTTAAGATTATCTACGTTGGGTCTGCTGAGTGCTGTGATTATGATCAAGTACTTGATTCAGTTCTTGTTGGACCAGTTCCTATTGGACGACACATGTTTCTCTTTAAGGTAAGATTTGCCTATAACTATCTCATGCAACCTGCATAAGTAATCATTATTATAGCATGACATTGTTCTTAAACAACTGTCTTAGGGCTATTAAAAAGTCATTTTTTGCAGTATGAGAAGAAAGTACAGAACTATGCAGCTGTGACAGTTACAAATTTTAATGTTCAAAACTCCAGTTTATAATTCTGAAAATAAATGTTTGCTCAAGCTACATAAATACATGTATATTGACAATTTTTCAAGAGATTTCCATTTTGTTTCTTCTAAATATGTCTCCTAACCCTTAAGACGCAGCTACACGAGCAATTTTTTCACTTGAACAGGCGACGTAGGGCTCGAAATAACGACCAGACATATGCAGGACAAGATGTTGTTCTTCCAAATTCATTTTTGGAAGGTCATGTCAAGTTATGAAGGGACAAATACTTTATTATACTATTATTTTCTTTTAATCAATAGGTCTTAGTGTGTATTCAGAAAAATCGGCAAGCATTTTTATGGCTTGTAAAAGATTTATTTAGCCAATTGAGAATTGATTGTTTTTTTTATTTGTCTAAAAATGTGGCAGGCCAAATTGTCCTTTCATAACCTGATTTGGCTGGTCATCTAGCGAATTTGAAAGGACATTGCCCTTGTCTGGCCGTTATTTCAAGCCCTGCGACGTGATTTTCTCAAAATCACCAGCGCATGATGCGGCTACACGAGCAACAATGCTGGATCGATACAAAATCCTAAAAAATACTTATTTGAATGAATATTCGATGTTCAGCTTTTACTGTACCCTAAAATTATATTGCCTGCAAGCGAAAAATCGCTTGTATTGCCGCAGCTTTATGATTCTCAATGCTAAGTTGTTAACTGTTCAAATTTTCTATTGCACTTGACCACTGATGAACATTTTACCATCATGGTCCATGTGAGGAGGAGAGGGGAGGAACATCCTAAAAAGTGTTAAACGCGAGACCTGGGCAATGGACAGTTTCCAGTCAAATCCAGTTATCAAATTTTTATGCTTTATTGTAAAACTTGGGACGCATAGGTGAAATAAAAAGTTTTCCAACTAGTAATCTTAGTGCTGCAAACTGTTCTCTTTGAAAATTTTTTAAAAAAATAATTCTTTTAAAAAAGAATTTACATTTGCATCAATTTAATTCAAGATTGTACCTTACATTTATGTAGTTTCAACTCAATTTTGTTTCTTATACATGTATTGAAAAGTAAATTTATGCATATGCATTTATTCTTATACATGTAGCTTTCCATGTATTTATTGAAATACACTTTTGTAACTTGTTTTCTGTCTAATTTTCCATTTCCCAGGCCAACCCACCAGACCCATGTAAGGTGTTGGATCAGGATCTTATAGGAGTTACCGTCATACTACTAACAGGGTCATACAGAGACAGAGAGTTTGTACGTGTTGGTTATTATGTAAACAATGATTATGTTGACCCTGAAATGAAAGAGAATCCTCCAGCAAAACCAGTCATAGAAAAGGTGAGTTATTTAAAAAAGTATACCATGGGCAATGTGTAGTAATGACATTGTGTACAACAAAGAACAAACTCTTTTTTTATGTCAGTACTAAAATAGTCTGCTAAGACGTTCCTGGCTTTTCTTTGCAAGCAAGTAGTTGTGCTCTTTTTGTAAAGATAAACTTTATAGAGTAGGGAGGTGGGCACATGATGAGGGCAAGAGGTGGGCACATGCCCTGACAAAGGTTTTGGTAAATTTAATAGAAATGCATGGAGAACAAAAATAAAATATACACTTTTTTCAATTCTCACTATGCCCCTCAAGATGCATGTAGCGCAAAACAGAATTTAGGACTTCGTGACAAGCCTACTTAGACAACTTAGGATTTTGATTGCCCACAGGGGCCAAATGTGCCGCTAAATTGTGGGGTGCCAAGCTTACCGATAATTGACACATTGCTTTAATGTTTTGTTTGTAGTTACAGAGAAACATCCTGGTGTCAGAACCAAGAGTGACAAAATTTCACATAAAATGGGACGATTGATGTACTAAACTAGTTCATATGTATATATGTATATATTGCAATGTCATTTGTGGTATATGAGATTTATAGACATCTACTTATTACATTAATGAGCTATGTTGGATACAATGGGAACTAGTGGAGTGTAAGATGCAGTTCCTCGTAGGTTTATTCATAGCAACAGTCTTTTTGCTTGTAAAGACAGGGACCACAGAGCAGAGGGTTGGGGGGAAAAGGCTTTAGCTGCCCCAATATGTTTTTTTCCCATTTCTTTTGTATTTTCTCCTTAAAAATTGTGAAAAAGTAAGCTCTACCATTATTCTTGAAGTCCCTCAAAGTGATGAAAATAATTACATTTTTGAGGTTCAAAATTTCAAAAATTCTGGTTCCCCTACATGAGCCAGTTGAAAGTGGTTGTTAGCCCTCCCAACAAAAWATSTACTCTGTGGTCGTAGAAAGATGTAGAAAAATGAAGAATGGACTTTTCTAGGTTTATTCATAACAATATACACATACAGTCTTCAGATAATAATAATTGCTTATAAGCTTTGCAAGAACTCAATTTGCTTTCAAAGAAGTAGAAAAACAAATAGCAATGCAATTTTTGCATTGTAAAATTGCAACCTACATGTGAAATACTCTGTAAAGTTGAAATGCTGTCTTGAAAGGTAACCATGCTCACTATGATAAATGTAGCTACGTGTGAATAATCAATGTCCTAGGTATTTAAAAAGGTGTCTTAAGCTTGAACTACAGTGTATATCTTACTCTGAAGCAACGCTTGGCTGCTTTTCATGAWGGTGCTGATAGCTGTAAGATTTAGTACTGTATTACAAACCAAGGAACTAAAATCATTTAAGTGGCTTTCTTTCCCAATCTGATTTTTTTGGCACATCATCAGTGCAACCACATAAATTATCATAAGTTATTATTTACARTACAATGTACATTGTAATCTTGTTATCAAGTAGTTTGCACTTTTGCCAGTTTAATGACAGAACTTTTACATGAAATCGTCACATTGTACTAAATCAAGCAAGCTGGATGGCAAAATTTGCGCTTGGACATTCAAAACAAAGAAAGTTCAAGCTTGACAACCTGTGTTCCTTTTGTTTTTGAGGTTGTTTACATTCAGTATGTTGGATTTAGTATTGTCTGACGATTTCATGCCAAATATGAAACAAACTATAGAGCTACACTACGATAGCTTAAGGTAAGGTAAACTGAGGTGGCCTACACTACACTACATGTACGTGTATGTTCCAAATTATGATGAAGTCACTTCTTTGATATTTAATTCAAGAACCTTCTMAAGTTCTTTGGTTGTTATTTCCACCTGGCTATGACCCTCAACAACAACAGCAAAAATGAAATGTAAATGAAGTTTAAGGCTGTCTTGAGTAATGTTAATATTAAAWTTTTTTTAATTAAAGTCTGTGTCACCTTATTAACCTATTCTCAATATACAGTTAAGCTATATCATTGCCTTGGAAAAATAAAATTTATATATTTCATAATATACTGTCTGATGAGTGCGTAGCACGAAACTCGGAGTTACAGCAAAATCTTGCCTCTTTGATATCATATATATATTTCATAATAAAGTTTTAATGCATGCATCCATGATAGCCTGCTTTTTTAGCTGCACCTTTGCACCTTTGCAGTGCAATAGCCAACTTGCAAAATTTTGCCTCAGAAGTTGCACACAAATAGGAATCACACAAAAAGGAATCGACAAGGCGCTGTGCATAAAGCTCAGTTGTCAAAAAAAAAACAATAGTTTTTCACAATTGACTGAGCTTTATGCACAACGCCTCGTCATGATTCTTTGTGTTTGACTACTGACTCGAAATTCGAAAATTGACTTTTCTCCATTCTCTATCTTGGGTAGTAGACATAAGGTGATTGCAAAAGAAGGCTATCATAAATATTATTTAAACACTTTGCCGTAGCACCATTTTCATGAGCTATGGAATTTTTTTATTTTCAACAATGTTGCAATTTCAGAATAGGTAGAAGAAAACAAAGGAATTTCCATAGTTCAGTTCAATTACTGGAACGTTTTCATGGTTTTAGTTTTCTTACTGAATAATGTTGGGCTACCTGCGAGATGTGCAAAGTCAGCCACAGGAATCCCACAAGTATTCCGTGTAACCTGGCCTTCGAAGAATCAAAACCAGAAAATTGCTTTTCTGAATTCCCATTTTTCTTCTACTTATAACGATGTTTCTCAAGAATTTTAAGATTAGAACCAGTACAGCAATTCGTGGATCGGACAGGTAAGATATGTGGCTTTTATTTTAYCATAAAATTACCGAAAAGTTCACCCGCAACGTATAAAACGTTTTGATTTTTTTCTCTTTTTCAATAAAACATTTTCCTAACACATTAACCTTAGGATTTTTCATGGCAATGATTTARCTAACGTACAAGAATTCGATGTAAATTGGAGCACTATATTTATTTTGTTTGTTGTCACTGGGCTGTCCATTTCGAACTACAGCTGTAGAAATGAAAACTCTTTAAGCCGACCATCAGGCCACGTAAATAAAACCCCGGGATAAAGTTACAACATAACAGGGTTATCCTAAGGCTAGATTGGGCTAGACCCATGATTACAGAATGGCAGGTGTTGAACAAGAACATAACAAAGCCTTCTGTAGTCATCCCAAAAACCATGATACAATTCACTGATTTTTTGTTACTCTGTGACTTGAGGCAATGACCCAGTCCAGGCATTGGAAAAGGGGTGCTGTAGTCCACCCCCCCTCTGAACAAAGTGAACTGTTTTTTTTTATTATTATTTTCAATGTTGCCCATTTAGCCATCCTAAAACCATTTAGCCCCCTTCCCACCCCTCTCCCCCATAAAATTTCAGTTGTGAGTCATAAGAGGACTATTGTCATAATTGTTCCCAGTCCTCTTTTCAATTTTGGAAAGTTTAATAATCTCTGGAGAGATGTCCCCTGGAGATACTTTCGTTGTTGATGGGGTAGGGGCATAATGTATGAATAATAATAGATAGTCCATTCTTATTTTAGGCGCAAGTTAAGGTCCGATGTACAGCGCTGTTTCCCTAGCATTGATCCTGATGGGCTCRTGGAATTGATCCCTAATAAAGAAGAAATGACTGTTACCAAAATCACAACACATTCTGGAGAAATGGTTGTATTCTATAGTGTTAATGGAGAACCAATTTTATTTGAAATTGAAAAGAGGATTTATCCTACAGGTAGGTTTAAGCTATTAAAAAAGCACCATAAGCTCTACCTAGTTTCCCCCAAGGCATTTAACAAGACATTCGGCATCCTTATGCCATCTTCAGTAGTATTAAGATAATTACATTTGAAGAGCTTCGATTTATACCTACTAGTTAAGTCTAGAAATGATATATGATATAACAAAGATATTAATTTACAACGGTAAATTGGTCTGGCAYATTTCAAATTTGTGTATAGGAATATTACACGAAATCCTCTCAATGCCCCTCTCAAAATGATATTRATAATAATAACCTTTCTTCAGTGTATTCGCTATGGAAGCATCCAAGGCTATTGGTTTTGAATTTTGTCACATGGCCTCCAGTCTTCCAAAAACTCACCAATGGTGCAGGTATTGTGAAATGCTATAGAACACTATGTATGGGATATTGGGTTTCATTTATTRGTATATCTATTAAGTTCTTATCATATGGCACAATACTCTCATTGCGATTTGTGTACCCTTGACCTGGAAAGCATCTAACATCTTCTGAGAGGGTAAAGCCCACCCTATTTTTTTAACACACTATTTTACTGTTATTCAGTGAAAGTAGAGCTATCTTAATACACATTATTCCAAAATGGCTGACTAGCCCTCTATGTCTCGTTTTCATAAAATTATTCTTTTGTCTTTGAGCTTGAGTGACTTTACAAGAAAAGAACAATTTCATGAAAACGAGACATCATGGGCTAGTCAGCCATTTTGGAATAAGGTGTATGCAAAACCTCTCTATGCAGCTATGCGAAGAAGGTTATCAACTAGGTCTCAAAACAAATTATTAAGGCTAAGACTGTGGTATTAAGAATAAGACTGTGCAAAAGAAATTTTATAACTGATTGAAATATTTAAACAAGAGGTAATTTTTGTACAACTAGGTTAAATGTGGAAGTCATGGGTTGTACAGCACACTGGATAATCTCATGTTTTTAGTAATTCTCATGATGTTCTGGTCATTTAATAGATTTAATGCTACCAGGAGTTGTGATCCCTCCTGAGGGTATTAGCAACTTTGAAAGATTTGAAAGAGATGAACTGTGTACTGTCACACTGAAAGGAAATCAGTAAGTACAATTGTACTATAATTTATAGTACTTCTAATAAGTTGTAGAGGAAATATGGATTTTATCTCCGAGTGTGGATAGCAAATAAGACGATAAGATCCATCTCCAAGGGACCATGTAATATTCTCTTTATCACAATGATTATCTAGGAATCAAAGTTCATTATTTTTTAATTTATACTTTTATTTGCCTCCAATATATATAGAGATACCACAAATGTGGTATTTTCAATATAATTATATCAATGATAAAGTTTACTTATAATCTTACATGCATGCGTTGCTTTTTATGTTATTTTTGTAGCATCTACCAACTTAATGTTTCCAGCCAATGGCAGATAAATAAATATAATGTGCATTTACAATGTTTTCATTCAGGTCTCCTATTGCTGTTGGAGTTACAACTGTTTCAAGGAAAGACATGTTTGAAGATGGAATGAGAGGCAAGGGAGTTAAAATACTACATGTTTTTACAGATTTTCTCTGGTAAAATATTAATTAATTGTGTTGCACATATTATATATTTGTTTATAATATATTTAAAGTGATTACAACGAACTTATGCTCTTGTAGACCCATTATTGATTACCACTTTTGTTTTGATTTTTTATTGCATTCAGAAATGTAGTGAATATCTTCCTTTAATGCACCCTTAGTACAATCAAGAGCAGATAAATTCTCCATTATTTCTCTCCCAACAATCTTTATCTTAGCTGCATGCAGAGTCAGTTTATTGAAAACTGACATATGCAGGCTATCTTTATTGACAAAATGTACAGTGTATTCGACAAATTATTAAAAAAAAATATCTTGTTAGGGCTCATGGGAGCAAAACCAATCCTCCTCAAATTGATGAAGATGATGAGCAAAAAATACAAAATGATGAAAATAGTGATGAAGATATTTCAGTTGCGTCTGGTCAAGAAGAGGCAAATCTACAGACAGGTACATTGTAGTTACATGTACTGTTTGTTCCCTTCCATTATCGTGTTCTGTCTTATCAAAGGCCTATATTAGATTCCTCCTCAGGCAACTCTCAGTTTTGGGGTTCCTGTGTTGGTGTTGGGGGAGAGTGGTGTGGGAGGCACACCCTCAGCCTCATATTAGGAAACCCAATCATGGTTGGACTTCGACTAGCRGAAGAGGCAAAGCTTGCATCTGATGCCATCGCCACATATATTGYAYTAAAAMAAATTTCTWCTTTTGTTTAGACAYTGGTGAAAGCTCACCACCAGTTCCTCTCATTGAAGATGTCCGGACATTGACAATAGATGAAACATCTTTAGAAGAACATGAATCAAATAGCACTTCAGAAGAAGTCAATGAACCTCAAGAAATAGCAGAAGAAGCAGCATGCAATAATACTGAGCAAGAAAATGAATCTGGAAAGACTTTATCACTAGGTGAGATAACACATTAAGTTAGCTTTGCTGTTTTAATTTTATTTTCACCAACTGGGTGGTTTGCTCAGACTTACAAACATGTGAGTTGTTAAAAAAATGTCAATGCTTCATTGCGTTGGAGTGCAATGTTCCACTGAAACTTTTAAGACTTGAATGATTACAACATGCAGATCCGAAGTCTTAATTTTTCTGTTTCTCTACTTATGCCAAATCATGTAGTCTCCTTTGCAGCCTTCCCTTTTGTTGGGCTTCCTGTCCCGAGGGAGAAACAGGAAGCCCAACAATAGGGGAGGATGCGAAGGAGACTACAAATCATGTGATTTTCTTAAAAATATCTGAGGTGCTGTTCAGAAATTTTGATAGAATATATTTGAATGTATTAACTAAAAGAACATTGATAATATTAAAAAGGGGACTGAGTCTAATTGAGAATAAGGAAGATGTCCTTTTAATAAGGTCTACTATAATAATTTGAAAATAATGACCATAAAATTGTCTGCTGTTTTTAAGGAAATATGGATGAACTTCTTGAATATTGTTTCTTTTGTGCTGTTCTGAGATTAAAAGAACCAGACTTCCCAATACTCACCAGTGCATTCTTTAGAAATAACATGCTTTCTTACTGGTAAGTTAAAGATCCATTACGAACTACATTGTACAAAAATGTACTTATTTTTTTTATTTTGAAATTTTATCAACATGAGTAATTTTTATTTGGTAAATTTCT